AAATTATAAAAAAATAATATAAAATTCAATGATAGTAGATTAGATAATACAAATTGGGATGCAGTAATTTAAATTGGGCTAATTGCAATAATAAAATGTAATAAAAAGTAAGGGACGTTTTTGTAAACATCAGTTGCATCTGTTGTCAATTTACAGCAATGTATGAATTGCCATACCCAAGTTGTTTTTGAACAAATTCAGTGGTAATCATTTGCAGTGTTCATATTGGTTACAAAAAATGTTATTTATGAGAAATTCTATTATTTTTGTTATATAAATGTATGTAAAGTTTGAATGTTTGTTTTAATTTAGATAATTGTTTATCAAGTTTATTGTATCATTGTAGCATGTACCAAAGAGGGCTAAAGTCCGAAATGCATTTACATAAAGAGTGGTAATAAAATATTTTGCATGATATTCTTGTCTGTTTAATCCTTGTCAATTGGAAGAAAGGTTGTTCACATTGGATTTAGAAAAATACATTTTTAGTTCTCTAAATTACGATGTATTTCTAGATTAATCAATGTTATTAACCTGATCCATAATAGTGAGGTTTAAAAATATGTTATTAATAAAAAATTTGTTCTAACAATTCACATTTATTCAATTGAAAAGTGAGCAATTCTTTTCCAGAATTTGTATTTGAATACCAAATTGTTTGAGTTAGAAACAGTGTGAGTACTGATATAACTGTATTTCATTCATCATTTGTATGAATGATTACTTACCTAGATTAAAAATAGGTTAATAACACTTACTAAAAATGTTCAAAGTTTATTAAATATGAAAATTTATCTATAAAAGAAAAACAAGTGATAGTCTCAACCCCTTCCGCCCATAACCAAAGATAATTCAAGCTGCATGTAACACTGTGCAGTACATATCCCGAGATATCTCGGGCATGGATTTTAAGGGCCTTAAAAAAAAATACCTTGAGACAACTTTTCCACAAATATATGGATCAGAATATATACATCTTTATCTATCACCTATGCAAATTTCATGAATTATTTTTGCCATGAAAATTTTTATGACGATTTATTAATTAGCTAATTAATTGCGCTATTGTTTTTTTATGGTAGTTTTTTTTATCAAATTAATAAAATCGTTCTAAAGTTGTATTTCACGGATTTGATGTCTGTAAAGTTTTTTAAAATGCTACTGGATGTTTTTTATGACATCAGCAGGTTTTTTTTTTGTTTTTGATTCAGTAAAATTTTTTCCCATACCTTTTTTTTTGGTCCCTATGTATTTTAATAGCATAAAAATTGAAAGTTTTGTGTTATATTTGAATATATGCAGTATGTTAGCTCCCCTCCTGCTTTAAACCAATATTACCCTGAGGCATACATGAGAACTACCCGGGAAAGCTGACACCAGCTATTCTCAAGATCAACCAGTTTGTAAACAATGTAAACTGCACGTGTGAAATATCATGCCTTATTAAATAAAACAACAACAATCCTTGCAGCTACATTTTTCAAATAAAAGCATTTATTTTAAATTATTTAAATTTTTTTTATATACTTTTTTTTGTAAAAACACTTTTTGGGGATTTTTATTTCGCGGGAATTATTTTCTGGCAAATTTTTTTTATGTCAGATTTGCGTTTGAGTGGAAATAATTATTTAATATAAAAAATCAATTACTTATGGATTTCTGATTGACATTCCGGGCAGAACAAATGTACACAAGTGGTTAATTAAAGGCTAAAATCTGAATACGAAGATGATAACAGATAATACCTGATTGATAGAAAGGCTAGGACAAGAAAGAAACAAATTGTACAGTCAGATTTCATTAAACTTGATAAAAGGTACAAAATAAATTGAAATTTTCAATATTTTAATATCCTTGAGTAAATTTGAGATAACATGCATGCTTACTTGAATAAAAAATATCGAATAGAGGAGTTTGCACTTAAAAGTTGTGAAATCTTGTATAAAGGATTTCCCAAATTTTCAAACTATGTTAGAGTGAAATTATGTTGTAGAAGTGCCATGTTGTATGAGAGATACCTGTACAGGATACCTTTAAAAACATGCAATTAAAATACAGAATAATAATATTAGAGTCACCAAAAGAAACTTGGGAGTTAGACTTAAAGAGCATCAATATAGTGTAAAAAATGGCCTTTGCAGTACAGTACTATCCCAGATGCCACAAACTAAAGGGTCTATGGTAAAAAACGATGCAAAGAAAATTAAGATTTTACACTACTCAACATTGGTACTGAATGCTGAAAAACATTAATATATATAAGAATGAGCTGTACACACCCCCCTATATACGTACAGAACACTGAAAAAATTAAAATATACAAAAGCAGGTTGAAAGATAAATGCATTAATGCAAGAGAACACAAATAGAAAAAATTTATTAAAGTTTGTTGGAAACTGTTTACAACAACAAATAAAAAAAAATGCTATTGAATTGAGTTGAAAATTTAAAGAAAAAACTGAAATTAGATCAAACTTCTAACTTAGAAGGTAATTTTTCTTTTTTAAATAAAATCTAATACAACTACAAAGAATGCCCTTTCCAATTCAACTGATGTGGGTGGAGTCATCTTTAATGTATTTAAGAGAACACAGATGTGTTTTTCACCTGTAGTCTCAAAGGTTTCTAGTTTGTTTTCAAGACACATTGCAGTACTTCTTTTGCTGTCTAGTATTCTTGATTTGTCTACCTCAGCTGCTTTAATAATGGCATCAAACTTGTAACCCAATAATTTTGCAGTTCATCTGGCTTTTCTCATCATGTTTATGAAGAAAAACTTCATACTTACATACTTTGTACTTGTTTGTATCCTCGCCCAATTTGCACAGCCTGCATATTTGCCCATATAACTATGCCCAGCAGTTTTGATAACTCATAATGCAGTTATCAAAACTACTGGGCATAGTTAAAAATTAAGATAGCATCAGCACAATTATTCAACATATTACAGGTTCTGACAAGTAAAAAATTTTCAGAGTTCCACCACAAATAGGCTACATATTGTTTATTGGCAATTTGTAACATGCCATAACAAGCAAAACTTTAGTTAAAAAACTAATAAGCAGGCTTAAAATTAATAAATACAAATGTATTCTGACAATTATGAGTTAATTATACTTTCTATTTGCAAAATTTCCTCAACCTTACCACAAAATAAAAAAAAAGTGAACTTTTAAGAAATTTGTGGGATTTCCCAAGATGAAAAGAATTTCCTGGATTAAAAAACAGTCAGGATTACTGGGATTCCAGGATCCCATTAGAAAAACTCTATATCAGGGATGGCCAACACATAGACTGCGGTCAACCAGTCTACCACAAAGGTTTTGAAAGTAGCCCGCGAAGCTAAAGTTGAACAATTTGCTTTCACTTAAATTAATGTTTAAAAATCTTAATTTGATAATTTATTCTTACAATAATAGACTGTCTGTGCAATGTACCCATACTGTTTGTATTTATCCCAATGAACAATGCAAATGAATGTTAACGCATGTGCATATAAAAATCCTAAAATTGTTTGCCCATATTCATAGTCACCCGCAGACTATATTTTACCAAAAAAGTAGCCCCTAAGGGATAAAAGTTTGGCCACACCTACCCTATATTAAATGGCAAAATATGTTCCTAGAAAGATTGTAGCCTGAGGATGGCCTATTAGACTAGGATGAAAACATTTGCTAAATAAAAGCAAATCCAGCAGCCAAAAAGCTGTTTATAGATTTATTCTGGATTATTCTAATTTACAGTAGTGGGTCAAAAGTCGAGCTACCCTTGACATATGTTTTAAAACTGCAACCTCTAATTTGTTTACTATCTACTACATAATTTTTTGATAGTTGAAAAGAGCACAAAAAAAAAGGTCAAAATACTCAATTGAATCATTATTACATGGAATAATGGAATAATTATATGGAGAATTAATGGAATAATGGATCAAACTGTTTATGGGACATACTGCAGAAACAAATGCTTCCTCATGCACATCATTCAATATCAAGGAAATGGATCTTCCAACAGAACAATGACCTAAAACACACAGCAAATTTGGTAAAGCAATGGTTTTAACAGAAAAGGGTGAATCTTATGACATGGTCAGCCCAACCGCCAGACCTAAACCCCATAGAGAATCTTTGGGATGAAGTTGAGTGCCATATATGCCAGCGTACATATTCGAATCCAGATGGTCTACCATTCAAAAAGCATTGTTTGAGACTCTCAAATCACTGCTTGACAACTTAGTTGATTCAATGGAACGTAAATGTGATGCAATGATCAGAAGCTCTGGTTACACCACAAAATACTAATATTTTGTCCTAAAAATACTGGACAAATCTGCATACTTCCTTTGGTAGCTCTACTTTTGTCACAGTGTAAAATATAAAAACTTTGTTTTTTCTTTTGTAAATCAGATTTAAAGTAAAATCTGAGTTAATTGAGTATTTTGACTTTTTTTTTTGCTCTTTTCAACTATCACAATATTAGTTATGTAGTAGTTAATGAATAAAATAGAGGTTGCATTTTTAAAACATATGTCAAGTGTAGCTCTACTTTTGACCACTATTGTAGATTATTGGTAAGAATTTTAATTTATATTTTGTTTTATGATTTTAGAATGTTACATTTATATTCAAACATTTAAAATTTAATGTTCTAATATTCTTTATTTATTGTATTCTATTTTGAAATAGTTTGTAACTGGTGTTCCAAAACTAGTCACCTTAGGATGGCCAAATGCATTAGGCTGAAAACATTAGTATATAAGCAAATAAATGTATCTCAGCAGGAAAAGGTGTTTAGTGATGATTTTAGTAATCATTCTTTCTACTGAGTGTGGGTTTGATTATTTGTACATAACATAACCTAATTAAATTGGCTTTATTAAATTACTATCTCTTTTTGAAATATTATAGAAGTGTTGATTTTCAATTAAAATGAAATTTTATTAATAACTTATTAATTTATACAAATATTACAATAAATTTCATAACTTACATATTACTTACCAAGCATAACCATAAAACAATATATTCGTTGATAAAAGTATTAAAATACTGATTTAGGAAGAGCATTCCTGGACCAATTAATATAGAATCAAAATATTCCATTACACTTTTTGTCATATGAGCAACCTGTAAAAAAAAAACACTAACATAAATACTTGTTCTCATAGTAGTGAAATAAAAATACACATATTATGAAAGATGTTAGGAGAATTAAAAAATAAGTTTCCCTGTTGGTTTTCTGACAAAGTGAAATAAGTTACAACACAAACTTCATTGGACACATATAGTGCTGAAGTTTGTTTATTTTTCCACATAGTCACATTCTTGTCAAGCATTTGTCATACCAGGAGATCAATGAGTGGAAACCTGTGACATAGAAAGATGGGCTCTGTGCATACAACCACACCCTGACCACCCAATGCACATCTTTGTTAGAATAGAAGATTTAGCCTCAAAGGTGTTTCTTTAAATGAGAGAACAAGTGAAAGTCTAATGGTGCCAAGTTCAGACTGTATGTAGGATAGGAAGAATTTCTCAGTGCCAAGATTTCAATATAGCCACAGTGCCATGTTATCGGACATTACTGCACAGAACAACACCCTTTGAAACCCTAACATTTGGTGACAAATAGTGAACTTCAGTTTCCATATGGTTTCCCAATAACAAATTACATTGATTGTTGTTCCACAATGAATGAAATCAACCAGTATAATCTCCTGGATGTCCTAGAACATGGTAGCAAGCACTTTCCCTGCACATGATGTTTGCTTGAATTTCTTGAACAAATGAGAAGATAAATCTGCATTATAGACTGGGCATTAGATTCCTGACTGTAATAAAACACCTACATTTCATCACCTGTAATCATCTTGTGCATGGAGCAATCACCATGCTCCATGTGATGTTGAAACATTGTCAGAGCATTTTCCATTTGTACAGCCTTGTGGTCATTTGTCAACTGGTGCAGAACCCATGTGCCACTAACCTTATAATGGCCTAGATGCTTGTGAAGAATGTGCCATGCTGTCCAATGACATATGCAAAATGCATCTTCCAATACAGCAAAAGATATTGCTCTGTCAGCCCACACTATACCATTGATTTTGGCAACATGATCAGAAACGGAAAGTTGACAGGGTCTCTAGCTGTCCTTGTGAGTGCAGCCATTGGAGAAAGCACAACACCACTTTTGCAAACTCATGACATTCTAACCATAGACTGCTACAATCTCACAATGGATATCAGCAAGCATCTTGCACTTTACCTACAAAAACCAGATGACAGATTGCACCTACATCTGCATCAATTCATTCAGGATGGCTGTCATCTTCCTATGGTTGCCAATAGTCACCTATAGAACATCATGCCTGCATCTCAAGTGCATTCCAATGATGGCAAGAAGAACTAAATCTTAACCAGTTTTGAGAGTGATGGATTTCTCAGTTTCATCAATATAAAATAGTGAAACTTAGTACACAACTCACTCAGATACCTGATTAAATGTAATTATTTTCCTCTTTTAAAAATATACAAAAAGTCATTAAAAATATTTAACAAAATCAATTTAAGCCAGATAAATTATTAATCCATATTAATTCAAAGTTTGAGACAATTAAAAATTTAAAAGAAAAACAAATTAATATAAATTAAGATTAATAATTATGAAATATCATATTTTAAATATAATTCTAAGTTTAACTAACTTAGAAGTTATGATAATTAGTATAACAAATTAAATCTTAAGTAAACTAAAGAATTTTTATTATAGTGAAATCTGATCAAGAGTTACCAGTGTTCAGAATTATCAAAACATGTGTCATGAAATTTAAAATAATTCTTATTATTTGCAAAACAAATGTTAAAACTCATTTTTATTAAAAATGTAAATATATACAGTAAAATCTTGCTTTGTGACCACTCCTGACACTCCCTTGCAAATATATATCAAATTCCATATAGGTGGGCATCTCACTTAAGTGACCAAGAAAGGAGAGTCCTAAAGTGACATGCAACTCTATTTATGTGGCCGATAGAATAGAAAAGACTAGCATTACTAAACTTATGTATTGTTTAAAGAATTTTAAAACACCCTTATCTTGTATGTTTTCCCTTCCTACATAAAAAACAATAAGTGGCATATCATGTCAAATAGTTCCAAGTTTTATATGTAACAAATTATATGTAAATATTTAAAACATTGCTTTCAGCCCACTAAATATTTAGATATTTTATTACATAGAACAGCCCACTAGATATTTTTAATAATATCAAATCTAGATACTTTTGCCTCCTATCTGAAGCTAACTTTCATTCCCTCTCTTTTCAACAATGTAAACATAATTTCTTTATATCTTTTTCTGAAGTTAAGTCTGCCATAGATAGCCTGAATAACTCCAATCATAGCCCAGACTCAATTCCCACTCATTTCTATACAAAGATAAAAGCAACATCTGCTGTTATTCTTTCCAAACTTTTCACAAGGCTATTAAACTCAAGCTATGTTCCAAACCAATAGTTAATTTAAAAAATAAATATTCTCCTCAAAAAAGATAGTTCATCTTTTAGACCTATCACTATTTTACCAGCCATGCTAAAAATTTTTGAAACATGCTTATATCATAAAATTTATACCCAAATTACCTCCAGAATTTCCTCTCAACAACACTGCGGCATTCGTAATCTTTCGACCATCACTAACCTTCTTGAATCAACTTACACAATTCTGCAAAATTTTGAGAAAAAAATATTCACTTATATAATTTATATTGACATCTCCCAGGCCTTTGACTCAGTCATCCCTAATTTACTACTTAAGTTGCTAAGTGATTGTTTTGTTCTAGATCCCACTCTCTGCTATTGGTTATACTACTACTACTACTACTACTACTACTACTGATTATGTAAGATTCATATTGATGATTTTGAATTTTTGCCTTTCTCCCCCTATCTGCAGCATACCACAAGGTACTAAGCATGCTTTTTTTCCAGCTTACATTGATAAATTACTGATCAATCCATACTCTGAAATAATTACCTATGCAGATAACATTAAAATTTTATCCAATGATCCCAGCCCTCCCTGCAAGCTAATATCAATTTTTTATGCTCTACATTTACCAGTTATAATCTAAATATCAATATCCATAAAACTGCTATTATGTGCTTTTCCCTATTTCACAATCCATACCACCCTTCAATATACATTGACTCCACTAAAATAAACTATGTTCAGTCTCGTCGCGACCTTGGTATCATATTTGATAAAAAAATTCATCTTTTATGATCATCTCTCTTACATTATTAAATCACTTGCCATTAGACATGGCTTCATTTGGTGTTTCTGTAAAAATATTTCTTCAAAATCTGTATTCAGAACCATTTTCTTTATGAATTTTCAGTCAATAGGCAACTACTGTTTACCTGTCTGGGCAATGACTGCCCCATATTTGTTTCATAAATTACAATCCGAACTGGATATATAAATTTTGTAATCTACCTTATAGTGATAACCATGATGTAGCAAGAGTTTACCTTGGTCTTCCTAATCTTACAGATCATTTAAAATACTTTGATTGCATTCTCTGTTTTAAATATTTCAATGGTCAAATCCCAAACTACTGGTTAGGTCTCATCATTCCAGCCGTAAAAACCTGCAATACATCATGATTCTTCATCCTGTACTTCTGCCTTTCTCTCACAAAGATCTTTTTTTTTTTTTTTTTTACCAAATAGCCTCTCATATATATCCTATCAATATCATGATTTTAACTTCTTTAAAAATAAGTGTAAATCCATTTTGTATAATACATAATAAAAATTATAAACATAGAAAATAAAAACAATTACATTATGTCTTTTATACTTTGTTAATATTTTATTGGGGTTTTTTTGGTCATCGTCAGGAGGGTAGAATCCAATTGTCTTTAATATTTCCAAATGTAGATAAATAAATAAAATGAATAAACAGTCAATCAAGAACAGTTACTTATAAGTAATAACATACAGTCTGTACACTATGTGTACATCATAATAATACATTTAAAATATGACAGAAATAACATGTAGTAATAAAGAAAATAATTGGGAAAAACTGCAGATAAAAATTTGCAATAAAAAAGAAATAAATTGCAATAGTTTTAAATAATGTCTGACACTTCTGTAAATTGTAGATCTCACTATGGAAATGAAAAGCATGTTTAAGCTTTTGGTTATAATAGATATTGGTTTGATTCCTGATGTAGCCCAAAGTTGGCTGATTCAGAAAACTTTGGACTACACCAGGAATTATTAATGCAGACGAGAAGCTAGAATATTTATAATGGTAAGATATTGCAGCAGCATCTTACCATTATATGCACACCCTATATCCCTTTTGTTGACACTTAGTGTGATTTCCAAAATGTTTACATACCATTCTAATGGTCTGTCAATGGTATTTGAAATTAAACTGAAGATTTTTCTCACACATTGTTTTGTTAGAAATGTTGTGTTGAGTTTTTGGGATATAAAATTAAATTTTTTCTTATATAAGATAAATTTAGTTTTATATTTTTATATTATTAAACATCTATTAAAAAATCAGCTGAAAAATATATAGAGACAGATATGTATTTTAAGAAGTTTAGGTTTAAAAAGTCAAAAACATTCTACTAGGAAAAAAAGAAGTCAGAAAGATTCTGAGTTATGCCTGTATCTGTAATTTATTAATAGTCATGGATCATTGAAAATGTTTTTACTGTATATTATGCTATAAATAAACAAATTATCTTTTTTGTGAAAAGTTATGAAATTTAAATATTTAAAGATTCATATCTTTTCCATCTTAATACATAAATTACATGTGGACTGATAACTGATCAAAACATTGCTTAAAATATTGTTATATTTAAAGACAAAAAAATTATTATATAAATACTTTCCTCTTATAATTGATCATTTGTTAACAGTTGGATTTAAAATAAAAGTAATTATATATTGAAAAATAAAAATAATAAAGCATACAAGGTGCGAGCCAAAAGTTCCCAGCCACCCCAACAGAGTGTACTATGCTGCTATGCAGCTAGGTGTGACCTCCAGTATAACTAAGAAGCTAGTCTACTGGTTACCATCTAGCTGTGGAAACTGTTTGCTTACATCGAATACAATTTCACAAAAATGCACAAGTTATTTTGTGACTGGCAATATGACTAAAGCAAAAAAACAAAGAATTTGCATAAAATTTTGTTTAAAACTGGAAAAGATGACAGTGAAAACCCACCAAATTTTAAAACAAGTATTTGGTTTGGGGATAAAGTCACCAAATTCATCATGACCGAAAAAAGCATGTCAAGTCCAGACATGAAAACAACATGAAAACAATGTTGATCTTTTATTGACATCAAAGAGCTTATCTACAAGAAATTTGTCCCACAAGGGCAGATAGCAAGTGGCTGTTCTACTGCAATGTTCTGACTTGTCTTAGAAAACAGGTGTGACAAACAATTCCAGATATAGAACAACAAACCTTGGGTGTTGCATCATGATAATGCACTAGCCCATTCCTCACGTGTGTGCCAGATTTCGACTTTCACAAACACAACTGTCATTCCTCATCCCTATAATCATCTGACTTGGCCCCTTCAGATTTTTTTTGTTCCCAAAAATGAAAATAAAGTTGAAGGGAAAAAAGATTTGAGGCAATAAATAAGATAAAGAACATAATGCAGAATACACTGAGAAAAATTAAAGAAAATGACTTCTGTAAGTGTTTCCAAGCATTATTTCCATATTGGAACTAGTGCATTGATGCAGCAGGAGACTACTTTGAAACTGATGAAGGAAGTTAATTTATCAAGTAAGTATACAATTTTTAATAAATAAATCCTGGAAACTTTTAGCTCACACCATGTAAGTAAAGTATATAATAAATAAATTAAATTATTTTTATTATTTAGTAATAACTGAAATTATTGATTTCAGTTTAAATACCAACTTCTCAAAGAAATATCAAATAATTCTTTATTTATACTTTTATTTAAGTTTTAAAATTTTAAAGAAAAAAGTAATACTTACTACTAATCGATTAGTGACTTTGGCTGAAACTATTCCAAAAGCTAATATATAAAGACAAGGATGATTTTCATAAATATTTCTTACAGATTTTTGATATATAATGAATGCTGGAATTACTACTAATCCAACGGGGATGAAAGGAGAAAGAACACTTGTACCCTTAAAATAAAAATTAAAAATAACTATTTGATAAAATTTATATGTTTGATGCATAACAATCTATTTATCAATCAGAATAGACATCTTACTTGCTTTTCCAGAGATTGGTATGGTTTTTCAAACATTTCCAGCTTTCTTGAGAAGCTTTCTCTGGGAAAATGTTTGGAGAAACCATTTCAATCTGCTGGAAAAGACAGTAAGATGTTTATTCTGTTTGTATTACTGATTCCAGTTTGGATCTTGTAGTCTATATATCAATTAAGAGTAAACATTTTAAGCCAAATACATATTTAAATGTTGTCAGATTACTTGTATCATTATAAAATTATAATTTAAGTTCATCATTCCAGCCGTAAAAACCTGCAATACATCATGATTCTTCATCCTGTACTTCTGCCTTTCTCTCACAAAGATCTTTTTTTTTTTTTTTTTTAAAAATAGTTTATCCTGTTATTAATCCACAACCATATATCTGTGGCTTTGAAAAAAAAAATAATGCCATAATTTTTGCAATGCTGACTCTTTCCCCACAGCATGAAAGTCTTTCTTCAAACTATAAATCTTACTATCCTTTCCCCTTTCTCTCTTCTTACATTACCTTGCCTCTTCACATGTGTTTGACAATCCCCATTACTTCAGCAGCTAGAGTATTAGTTTGCCTGATGATGCCCATTCAACACAAGCAAAAGCATTAGCACTTATTTCTTTTACTCTGTTGGATATTATGTTTTATTTTAATAATTTTTAAAAAAGCCATTATTACTCATTAACAAATATTGTATGTTCCATGTACAAAAGTATATATTTATTAAATTTATCCTTTAATAAATTTCCTGAACTTTATAAAATATTGATACTAGGAAAAAAAAAACAAAAAAATTAGAAATTTGAAAGTTCTGTTACACATTCAAAATTATTAAAATGAAAAATAATAAATAATACCATTTAAATTAAAATTATTTATCATTTTTTTTGTCAATTCATTAACATCTGTCTTATATTGAGAATGTAAATGGTAATTGTGAGGGATTCAGAAAAAGTTAAAATATTTCAAAACAATGTCAATCAATATTAGATTATTAAAAGTATTACAAACTTTTCTCTCAAATTCATAATACTGCATAATTAATACAGCTGTTTTAAAATTTACAAATGACAATTGATATTGCTGTACTATATATTTGGAGTATAGTTTGATCTCCTGGTGTTTCACAATGCTCTTCTCCCTGTTGCATTTTATAATAATTTTTCACATAAACAATCAATATTAGTTTTTAAAATTAGCCTGCACTATCAATAAAAGAAATAAATGTATATAATAATTGTCTGAACATTAAACAAAATTAAAAAAATACACAAAGTGATCACAATTTATAAGGTCTGATTTTTGAATGATTTTAAAATCCAATCTTACAATAGAATTTTATCTGCAATAGAGTAATAAGACTTCCTAAATATAAAATTGTAAAAAAATGCAAAAAGTTAAATTAGCTCAATTCATATGGTTGTGCAAAGTTTAAAAAGTGGTTTAAGAATTTGGTATAGTAACAAAAAAAAAAAAAAATTATTGTGACATCTTCACAATAATTTCTGGCCTGCAATTTTTAATCATGTTTTTAATTTATTAATTAAAAATATATCCTCTTGATCTCAAAGTTAGTAGTGTCTTGGCCCTGTACATCATACTTTTCATAATAACAATGGAATCATGCTGGTCATCAATGTAACTCCATTACGAGGAAAATTTTTAAATTGAAATAACATGACTTGCAGTTTGCACCAGAAATTCATATACAAGTCGACCCCTATAACACTGTTGATTATTGTTTTAAATGAATTCCATGTTGTATGAGTCACTTAGATTTTACAAACACATGAGCCGTTCACAGCCCGGCACACGTATTTATAAAATCTAAGTGACTCGTACAACATGGAATTCATATAAAACGGAATTATCAACAGTGTTATAGGGGGGTCGACTGTTAGTTAATCGAGGCCTCCTGCCCCTAAGCTTTCTACATCTGGTCTTGACTTTCATCTATCTAACACCATTCTCAAGCTTAAGGAAGAATTTACAGATATCAGACAAACATCCTAAATAAAGAAGAAGCTGAAATTGAAGAAGCAGATAAAGAAGAAGCTGAGAAGTTGTGTCTCAGATTTGTAGAATTCATTAAAAAAGAATGATATTGTCCACAACAAATTTTCAATTATAATGAAACTGGTTTATTTTGGAAGTGTATGCCAAACTGTACCTATATCACAAAGGATGAGAAAAATGTTCCTGTGCATAAAGCCATGAAAGACCAATTCATGTTACTTTTGGGAGGTACCGCTTTGTAGGAGGCCTACATGTACGTAGTTTTTAAAATCACTGATATAGTTTTAATATGGCCCTGGAGGGGGTTGCAAGAATTTTTTAACTTGTAAAGGGGTCGCATATTCAAGAAGGTTGAAAAACACTGGTTTAGAAGATCTGACAATAAACATATGGTAATCCACGATGAGTGGATTACCATATGTTTATTGCTAGTGCAGATAAAGAAGAAGCTGAGAAGTTGTGTCTCAGATTTGTACAATTCATTAAAAAAGAATGATATTGTCCACAACAAATTTTCAATTATAATGAAACTGGTTTATTTTGGATGCTAGTGGTAATGCTAGTGGGGTAATATGAAGCTTGTCCCACTTCTTGTCTATCATTCTAAAAACCCTAGAGCATTCAAAAAAAATCCATAATTAAAGAAAGACTGCCAGTGATGTGGAGATCAAATAAAAAAGCATGGGTCATGCAGATTCTTTTCAAAGAATGGCTGTTTGAAGTTTGTGCTCCAAGCATTAAGGATTACTTTCAGACCAATGAATTGCCATTGAAAGCACTGCTGCTATTTGGACAATATACCAGGACACCCAAAAGATCTTGAAGATAATTTGCTGGAAGACTTTCCCTGGCTGACAGTTCAGTTTCTACTTCCGAATACCACTTCGTTGATTCAACCAATGGATCAGGAGGTTATTGTGGATTACAAGAAATTGTACATTTGCACACTGTTCCATCAATGTTTTGAAGCAAGTTCTCTTCAACAATGGCAGTGAAAACATTTTGGAAAAAAATTTGATATTCTTGAAGCTATCTGGCTCATTGAAAAAGCATGGTCAGAAGTTACTCAACAACAGTGAATTCTGCTTGACAAAAGCTGTCCCCCCTGCATTCAGGTAGATGGAGATAATGTCCCTGAAATTATGACAACTGCTAGAGATCTCAAATTAAAGGTAAATGAAGATGACATTGCAGAGCTCATAATAGAACCTGAAACTGATCTGACAACAAAAGAACTCAAACTCTTGAATGAAGAACACCAAGAAACTCAGCAAGATGTGTTTTCTTCTGAAAAAGAAGAAGATGAAAGAGGACCAATGCTGACATATGCTATTAAAGATCTTTTGAAGAAGTGGGAGGATATCAGAACAGTGGTCTTAGAATGGCATCCAAACCAGGTTAAGGTTAATAGGCCTGGAGATCTCTACAATGACAATATTATTAATTACTTCCAAAAAATCCTGAAGAAGAGAGAAAAGCAATCAACATTGGATAGATTCTTTAGTGCCCCAAAAACAAAAAAAACATGAATGATAAAAATGCAAGACTGTATATAATTTTTATTTATTTTTTTAGGGTCTCCACAACAAATTAATCAAATTCCCATAAAAATCTATGGTAAACTGATAATTGGTTAACAAACAATTCAGGTAGAGAACATGGTCCTGGAACAGATTATGCTCATTAACCAATCACACACTGTATTGAAGAATCACTTAATTTATTTTGTTTTACTTTATTTCACTGATTAAAAAATAAATACAATGTATAATGAATTATAATTTTCCATTATAAAATAATATCTTAAATTTTAGAAAAACTTGCTTAATTTCTAATTACAAACTTAAGTTAATATTCTAATACCTAAATATATAAAATTACTTGTCCTGACTGATTGACTAATTGATTCATCATTGCCCAGAGTAAACTGCTCAACCTAGAGGTGAAATTTGGTACACAGTTAGGGTACGTCATAAAAATGAACACTAAGAAGGGATTTTTCGAAATTTCCCTCCGGGGAAGAAGGAGAGGATTAAGGCCTAACCTGAAGAATGGCTTCTACTGTACTATTTTAGATGCAATTTTTTGTTTTTAACTGCATTTTAGTAGGATACCCCGTGGGAATGCACACTAAAAAGGGATTTTTCAAAATTCCTTTCAGGGGAGAGGGAGAGCATTAAGGCTTAATTGGAAGAACGGTTTCTACTATTCTATTTTAGATGTGATTTTTGTTTTCAACTATGTTTAGTCCTCATTGAGTTCTTAGGTGTATTAAATTGATAACATTTCAGACATTGTTATAAACATTTTTATATATTTTGATTTTTTAACCAAATGTTCGAACCGTTTTAAATTCGAATTTGTTATTGCATATTGGTTCAATTATAGAATGATTGTAAACATTCCAGAATAATGTTTAAATTGAAAACAGTTCGTTTGATTCTCGGCAATTCTCATAATTCTCAGTGGTAGGTGTTATATAACAATTACTATGGTTGTTGAAATCTATATATATAAAAATGGACATGGGTGTCCGTATATTTCACTTTCCAGCCAAAACTACACATCGCACATGAATGATGTTTGTATGTGGTAGTAGCCCCAAGTCTCCATTCGTGCACTATGGTGGTTGCGTCTCAATAGCTATAAGGGTGCGAGAGATATGGGGGTTTAAAGTGATTGACTTTGAAGATTTTCTATTTCAGTTTAAAAAATGTTTGAACCATTTGAATACAAATTCGAATTCGTATTCGAATTGGTTCAATTATAGAACGATTGTAAATGTTCCAGAAAATTGATCAAATTGAAAATAGTTCGTTTGACTGGACGTAAAAATTCTCTAATTAGTCTGGAAATGGGGGACCTAATTCTTGCATTCTGTGAAAACAGATAAGATTGGCTATAATGTAATTATCTTAATCTTCACTATCGTTACGTTTTGCCCAGCGAAGCGGGTCCTGGCAGCTAGATTCTAGATTATTTAGAAAAACAGTCTTTTATATATAAAAAACCTATATTACATATAAATAAAAACCCAGCGAAGCGGGTTCTTGCAGCTAGTACTGAATATAAATGGTGTTTGCTTGCAAAATCTGCATGGGCAAAGTCATGGGTAACAGCTAGTAAATGAATATAAATGTTTAAATATTACGCTCCTCATTTTTTCAGTTTAAATGAAATATATTTAACAATAACTTACTGCTACTGTAGATCCATTTTTTCCAGCTCCACCTGTAAAAATTACTGTGAAATATCCACAGAGAGAAAATGATGCAGCAGATGCACCAATAATAACAGGCAACAATTTCAGTTCTATATAAAAAAAAGGTATCTGTAAAAAAATAAATAAATAAAAATTAAATATACAGTTGTTTATATAGCATTTCTAATTGGTAACCAATAAACTAATTACTATCTTAAATTATGAAACTAATGTTCTTCCTAGAATTTTTTGGGCAGGAGGTCAATAAAAACTGACGAGTGAACCCACCTCATATGAATAATCTTATTCTATCTTGAATAACAACCTTGATGTTCCAGTTTAAAATTGATGGTCCTGTTATCATTATTTTGGTCACCACTTTCTTGTATTTTAAAAACTAACTAAATTAGTTGGATTTGATTTTTGTTTTATGTTGCTTATTTAGTAGTTTTTATCATTTTTGATAAAAAAAAATTTCACACACTTATGTGAATATATTTTTTTTAAACCTGATGTATAAACAGAATAGCATTACAACTTATGTTAAAAAAGCACTTTTGCCTATTTTATTTAAAGCTTTATCAGTTAAACAATATTTGAACAGAATAATCAGTACAAGTTCAAAAAACATTCCAGAAATTATAAAAAATTTAAAGTTGCATTCCAAAAGATAAATAAATATATAGAATCCTGATGTTGTGATATAGGATTCCATATATTTATTAAATGTATTTACTTACTGTAGATTGGTGAAAATAATTTTAGCTATATTCATGCAGAGGTGTTAACTGATCTGTTCAAAAGAATCTATTTGTTTAATTTTGAACATGTTTTGGTAAACACACATTAAAAATTGCAATCAAATTATACAAGAAAAATATTTAAAAAGTCATAGCTTTGCATATATGTATACTTCTCCTGAAGTTTATCAGCCAGGAAGCTAGAAATATCATCTAGGGAAGGGCTTAGAAAAATGAGTCTGGGAAGAACATTGTGAAACTACTCTAATATTATTACTATATGAAAATGATTATAAATTATATTTTGTAACATTTAAGCTTAGTAACTAACAAAATTATGGCAGCATTTTATGGTTCAACAACTACATTAATTGATGTACCAGTACTTCTGGCTATTGGAATGTCTTTTCCCAAACTTTTCACAACTATCAAAAGTGATGACTTAAAGTGATTGTTTTTCATTTTATTTTGTTCCTATGTATTAACTTCAGTATGTATTTTGGATGTAATATTCATCCTTTCTCAATTTTAACCAACTGAAGATTAATAATATGCAAGCAACTGTAACTTTCTATATAACTACACTTGTTATCTTTCTTAGGCAGAACTCTTGCAGCCTTCATCTATGGGTTGTGCTTGAATTCTAAAAGAATTGCACTTCCTATGAAAAATACTGAATAAACATGGTTTTAGCAGCTCTCATTTCAATAAGCTTTTGGCAAGTATAGCGAATAGGAATCACAAAGATAATTATCACTGAAGAAGAGTGAAAACTATATAATGAAGGACTAGATGGCTTTCACTATATACCAGTTTGGAAAGCAAGTTTCTATAAATGCCTTGAGAATTTTACTAACAAAAAGATTGCCATTAAGAGAAATTTAACCCTGTTTGATTGTTTAAGGAATAATAAAGAGAAGAGTAAGCAAGGAGAAAAAGCTGGAGTGTATGAAATCCATGTAAAGGATAAAGAAAACACAAAAAAATCTTAAATAGGTACAACCTAAAGGTCACTGGAATGAAGTACAACTAAGAGATCAAAAAATTTGAAAAATGGAGGGACATCTACAGCATTAGCAGAGGAAAGTCTAATAGAGGAAAGAATGGTGAAATGGAATGGAATATACTGATACTGCAAGAAATTATAGAAAAGACAACATAGCCTAGGCAGAGGCTTTGAATTTTTCAGAAAGGTCTACGCAAGTGAGTAATTTCAAGAACTCAGAAACCCTTTCTAATGCATGGAAATGGTATGCAGACAGTAGGTGTACAGAGACCATTTGCTATAAATTTATAATGAGACTTCTTTGTTATATTTGTCATTATCACATTGTTTTTTTAAATTTTGAAAATGTTTTTGAAATTTTTGGGATGCTATATCATCATAAAATTTAAAACTTTAAAGTCATAAGTGTTCTTAACTGTTGATGGTTATCCAACTATAAGAATTTTGAATATGTGTTCAATCTAGTTTTTTACACCGTCTCTGAAGATGAGCTGTCTAGTTTGAAAGTATTAAGTCATTTTTGAATTTTTCTGTAGTCCTAAAGAATGTGTGGAATTGTTTATTTAAAAATCCATAGGGGTTTTATGTGAGTTAATTAACAGGCAATGCTGACCATTAAAATACGATGGTTAAAAATGTGATACAGTCAACTCCTTTTAAACTGCCCCTCCATATACCATCAATATACCACCACCTCGGGTTTTCTGCCAAAAGCCACAGAAAACACAACTTGTTCATAATAAGTCAATAATATAAATAATCACCTTGCTTTCCAGTATTCACCAACCACGTTTTAAAATAAAGTAGTCATTTTTCCATATGAAATATTTCAAATAAACAACCACAATTTTTTTTTATCATCACAAAAATTAATTAAAATATTGTGGCAATGGGAGTTCCCACATCTTTAAAATGTGATAAACAAGTGGTTTTATCATGAGTAATGGTTTTTCCCTTATGTAATTGATGGTTAGGAGTGAGTGAGGCATTGTGGTGCAGTAAAGATCTGAACTTGGCCCGAATAATGATTACAGAGAGCTGAATGCACATTCTTACAGCCAACTCTAAAACCCTTTAATTTGTTTTGTATGGTGAATTTTTGCTGTAGAATACACACAGTACTGTATACTGTGACTATTTTAGTCTTTCACACAATGGAGAATAAAACTTCTTAGAAAAAAGCAAGAAATCTGTGCATATAGTGAAACCATTCATTATGCTCTCAAAAGTATAAAAATGTAAATAGATATTTATGCATAGTAGGAGATATTTTAAACCAAAAATGAAGCCACTAGAAAACTGAAAACTAGAAAGTATATTGAACTCAAAAAAGCATTAGTGATGTGGATTGTGCAAATAAATGCAAAGAATGGCATTGTCACAGATGATGTGATAAGAAAGCAAGCAGAAATATTTGGGCAGCAGATAAATATAAGCAATTTTAGTTACAGCAATGGTTGGCTGTATCAGTTTTAACAGCATCATGGTTTATCAAAGCAAAAGAAACATGGTGAAGTTGACTTGAATGTTGTAAAGTAAGAACTAGTGAGAACAATAATAGAGCAGTGTGATAAGAAAGATGTATAACTTGAATGAAACTGCTTTATTTTATTGATTACAACCTGACAAAACTATTGCTCATTCACCCATGAAAGGACACAAGAAGAATAAAGCTAGAATTTGTTGTAATTCAAATGGTAGTGACAAGAGAAATGTAACTGTTATTGAAAGATCCACAAAGCCCTGTTGTTTTTAAAAACTTCTATCCTTCTATTTATTGTCACTTCAGGTAGAACAAAAAGGTGGATGACAGCCCTACTTTTCCAAGAATTTGCTAAAGATTTTAATAGATAAAATACCCAGTATTTTATTTATGGATATGGCTACACTGGCCAAACTTCACAGAAAATTGATTTTAACAGGAATGTGATGAGAGAAACTTACAATGTCCTGCTTCTAATTGATAGTATACCCTGTCATAAGACAGTCAATCTGACCTGGAAATACAATTGTTTCCAGCGAACTGCACAGGAATTTTGTAATTCACTTGACACTGTCATAATAAAAGTTTTAAATCTAACTACAGATGTCATGAAGTAAGGAAACTTATCAAATGCCTCAATGAAAAACTTCCTATTGAGATGTCCCTGAAATCTGATCTGCAGCTAACTAAAAAATCATGTAATGAAGCAATATCAGGACAATAAAAAATTGCTGGCTACACACTGGCCTGTTCAGAGAGAAGGCACAAACTGACAAGGATTATAATAATAGCATTTGAATGTTACGCAGTAAGCTCAGTGAATGTTAGGCAATGAGATATTCATTTTAATTTTTAATGTTGCACTTCACTTTCTTTAGATTTTGTTTAATTAATAAGTGCTTCATATTTTTCAACTGGGCATAACTCCAAACAATTTGTGGATTTACTTCCTTAAGTACTAAATCAATGTTTTTCTTTTTGAACCAATCCAATGTCTTCTTTCCATAATGAAGCTTGGCCATCTGGCAAGAATAAAGGAGGATTCATGTGCTTACTGATAAATGGCAACAGGCACATTGCAAGACATTTCTCAATATCTCAGTTAATTATTTAATCTTATCTTATACAATATGTTAATGGTCCCTTGACCTACCAAAAACTTACTCCTCCAGCCACAAGTACACATTGTATGCCACATGAAATTTTTTTTAATTTTGACTGTTTTTTTCTCTGAAATAATTCAGAGAAAATCACTTGTTTATATTTCATTGCAGCATAAAACTGCAATGTAGAAAATGCTAAAAGTTACCTATAAAAATAAAGATAATTTAACTACTTATCTCAAAAAGCCAAACTAATTTTTATTAAGAAACATTTTCTCTTATAAGAACATCAGTTCAACTTCCCAAATGAAATATTGTTCATCATCAAGACATCAGATCAGGTATTTTTAATTCTGAACATCTTCTAGATTCAAATTCAAATACAGTATTCTATTTCAAACATTGAGCTGAAGATGTTCTTGTAAAAGCTCAAAAATGTTTCTTAATAAAAATTAGTTTGGCTTCCTGAAAAAAGCAGTTAAATTATCTTTATTAATATGGTGCCAAGTTTGTATAATATCTGTGATAATATAAAAAATGAAACAAATTGAATAAAAATTAATCAATATACTGTCATACTGATTGGTAGTTGCAGCATAATTCATATATTGTACAGTAGTTCCATGACTTTAGGCATCTTTATGACTTGGAAAAAGGAGTTCCTAGCATGTCTATAAATTGTTAACATTCGACAATTTTGGTTTTTGGTGGTTTTGAACATTTTTGCTTCAACTAAAGTGTGGAGTATTCTTGAGATATTGTAATGTCTATCTAAGGCTGAGGTTATATTGGGAATGGTGTGCATGTCCAGCATGTCTTGCATTATGGAGGAAACTGTACACTATAAAGTTCTGTTTGTATGCTAATCTCATCTGTATCATTCTCTTCAGAAAATGGAAACAGTATTAGTAAATATATAGAATGTATATCATGTAATCCTCCCACAGCAATTAAAGAGCACAAGTATGATATAAAAAAAGCATTCTGCACTGCAATCATAGATATCCTTTTGACTATTATGAGAAAACTGTATACTTTAGTGATGCAAAACTTCTCAGGATCACCAAAAACCAAAATGTGAAAAAATTATTGAAAAGTTAACAGTTTATAGACTTTAAATTATATTTATTATGTTGTAACTATTAACCAATACATCAATGTAGAGTATCAATTAATATTTATTTTATTTTTTATGCTATTCTTTTTTATTTTATTTTTATTTCTATTAATGTTTATATAAATGCTTTTACATTCAAACTGAAATTTCCAATAGTGAGGTTGCAGCCAAAGTTTTCATCTCTAAAATGTGAATGCCAAACGTCGCTATCTTATAAGCAGCACTCAATGTTCACATTTTACAGATGAAAACTTCGGCTGCAACCTCACTATTATTACACTAAATGAATGTATATTTAAAATTTAAATGTTATAAGTTATGTTCCAATATTAATTTCATATGTATCCTAATGATTAGCTGCTAGAATATCTGAAAACATTTGAGAAAATAAATAATTTTGTTGATGAAGACTTATCTAGTAATTAAATTATTTTTGAATTAGAATGAACATTTTAAATAATTTCAAAACAAATATTTATAACTTCAATAAAAACACATTTAGAACACTTTACCTTAAAAAAATTTTTGATTATTTTTTTGTGAAAACATTTTTCTCATATAATAATACTGCAGAGAAAGTAAAAACAGTAAATCATATAATTTTTATACTCACTCTTGTTGACCAAACTCCTGGTCCTAATATTGCAGAAACAAGAAGTATAATTATAATGGTAAACTGTACTTCTGTGACATCAAACCTACATTAAAAAATATATGAATGAATTTAATTAAACTTAAGAATCAATTAATTTAAAAGAATTACATTAAATGCAAACTGAAAAGCAAACAATTACATATACAGTAGAGCGTCATTTATCCGAAACGTCGGTTATCCGAAAGCATTCCAGTCAGCAAATTTAAATTTTCACTAGTGCTGTGGCACTGAAATCATGGGCTATATCTTGGGCTACTCCAATATTTTTTTTGTTGGTGTGTGTGTTTTAGTTGGAAGCACTAGCACTTTTGTGTGGTGTTTTTCTGAGGATTGTGTGTCGTTCTGAATTGAACGTTTTTGATACTAGATCAACTTCTAAAGTATATTTTTTTGGTTTTCGTATTTTTCAATATATTTATTTTGTTTGTACAAAATAAAAAAATAATTTTTAATGATACAATAGCACGATTATTATTTTAAAAAGTTTTTGTTAGGCTTAACATCGATGAAAATTCAACACGAAGCGACACACAACAGAGAAAAATTTCAACATGGGATAGGTTAATATATTTTTTCGTACATAATCAGTTATCCAAACAACCCCAGTCCCCAATTGATTTGGATAAACGACACTCTACTGTATAAGCAAAATAAGTAACATTTATATTTGATTATAAGCTGACTAAATTAATTTGGTAAAAAATTGTCGGAACTAAAAGTTTTTAAATTTACAAAATTTAAGAAAATTCTTAAAAAAGACAATACAAAAATATGTCTTCTCACTTGTCCTCTCACATGCACATGAGGAAAATAGCAGTTCTATGGCAGAGTCAACATTTTATTTGAGGCTACTCATCCACCTCAATATGTAAAAACGTTAAAAGATCCCTCTGGCAATGGCACAATATTAAAAAATAAATACATTGTAATACTGTTATTTTCCTCATGTGCATGAGAAAGGACAAAGACACATTTTTGTATTGTCTTCTTAACAATTTAAAAATTGTTAGTCCTGGCAATTTTTTATCAAATATATTTATTTCTTGGGAGTTGGAGGGTTATCCCTTTCATACTGAGAACTGTTTACAAACCAGTGGCTGAATGACTCAACAAATGTAGGTCACTCAACAAACATTGTTTAAAAAATTTGCCAAAAATCAAATTTTAACCATAGATATAGTAAATAAATGTGATTTTTTTTCTATATTATTAGTAGTTTTAGGTACAGTATTTTCAATTATTTGTATTATAAATTTTAAAAAATGAAATGTCGTGACTTTTCATTTACAACTTAAAAATTTATGAATTTTGAAATAGCATAAAATTTTCTGGTTTCTTCATTCATTTCTCACACTAAGCCAGCAAGATAGCAAACATTGTTATGTATGTTTTTGTATAAGATTTATGCATGTGGTATTATTGGTTCTCAAATAATAAATTAAAAGTTTAATATTTTATAATTATTCAACATGTATTCAGTTAACCCCCGTATAACACAGTACTTTTATAGCATGGGTTCACTCTAACATGGTTCAGGAATTGGGTAAAACCCTTGAACAATGTGAAATGTAATAAAGGGTGCATTCTTTTATACCCCACATAACTCCGCACAAGCATTCTAATTGTTTTCGTGGCTTCTTTGAATGCTCTTTCAACAAATAATCCATTTAATGGTTAAATTATACAATTGGGACCCTTCTTTTGCCTCTAAAAGCTCATTTTAGAATTATCAATTCCTCCATCACGATACTATTGATAGTGCAGCCGCGGCCATCTTTCTTTCACCGTCGTTCCTAAATGCCTACAAACAGCAGCGCACTCCCGTTGCAGAGCAACCGCTATTAACAAACGCACCCAAAAACTGTTACCAGTTGATGATGCTCATGCTGAGATCATCATATAGGATGAATAATCCTCTGGTAAAATATTTACTTAAATAATAAATAAGTATTTTACCTATGAAAAAAAATGAATAATAAATCTGATTTAAATAAGGATTTAACAGCATGTTTTTTAATTTTTGGAACCTAACCCCCTTTTCACACTAGTTCTTTGTTTTGTATAACACGGATTCACATAACACGGCAATTTTTTGGAACATAACTCCCGTGTTATACAGGGGTTACCTGTACTTATTTTAAATAAAAGTAAATAAATATTTCTCTTACTTTCCAAAATGTAATGTTCCTGATACATAGGTTTGCCAATGGGCACAATAAAATAATGTCATTGCAGCAAAACACTGAAAGAACATCCATGCTGGATAAGTACCTAATTCTGTAGCTATACATACTCCAAGTGAAACAAAAACTGAAATAAAAATTTTGTACATAAAATTTGTAAAATAATAAAATTTTTTAAGATTTTTATTTTAAACATTATATCTAAACAGTATTTAGAAGTGCCAAGTTTAATATTTTTTACTACTGAATATTACATTTTGCATCATAAATTTTGCATATTATAACAAAAAGAATTTACTAACTTAAATATTGTCATTAAACACAGTTTAGGCTCAAAATCTTATAAAATTTTATTTAAAAGTAATATTTATTTATGAGATGTAAAACAAATCTTATTTATTTAAGTATCTTTTATTTGTGTTTAAGTGCAGAAAACATTATCCTTAATTATTATCTCTCCAAAATATGATGAACTAAAGTTATAACAATGTCAAATTTTAGATTCAATTTAGTTGTGCTTACTTCTCATAAATTTAATTTACTGAGATGTAAGCATTGGAAGGTAGCAAAAGAGAATTTTCATTTATACTTAAATTTAGTTAGTTATTTGCTTTTCCATTTGTTCAGTTATTTTTAGTTTCAAGGATTGAGTTAAGTTAAAAACTGCTATCTCAAGACTTTTCAACTAGATATTCATTTGAATAATTTCATACAAACATTTAAATAATGAATGGAATTATTTCTCAATAATTTTGGATTGAAATATGACTAAACTAGCTTCTTACTGAATCACTGGAACAAATCACAATCAAGAACCATTTGGAATTTTGTTAGTTAAAAACCTGAAGCAGACCTTGGGTAAGGTCGAAAAACGTTCATTAGATGTTTTCATTAAAATTGTGTTACTGGATTTTGAAGGTTCTTGATTGTGACCTTTCTTTCCTTTTCTCTTATCCAGAGCACTTTGGCTTTGTTAACATAAATTTTCATTTTGAAGGCCATACATCCCCTCTAAAGTCCACTCAGGATCTTTCTCATTTTACTCTCGTCCTCTGCCAGAATTGCCACATCATCAGCATACCTTAGGCACTGAATCTGCCTTCTCCTGACTTTAATGCCTTTCTCTTTCCCTAGATATTCCATAATCATCTCTTCCAAGTGTAAATTGAAAAGAAGCAGTGACAGACAACACCCTTTTCAATCTTGATTTCCTCACTGTATTGACCACTGGAACTATTGCTCTCTGATATTTGTACAAGTTTAGTATTAATCTCTTGTCCTTCCAATCTATTCCTTTCTTTCTTAAAATGTCAATCAATCTTTTCCAGTCAATTCTGTCAAACTCCCCCTCTAGATCTATAAAACACACAACATTCTCTTTCCTTTTTCAATGTATTGTTCTATGGTTCTCAGTACCCATATTGCATCTCTAGTGCCTTTCTGAATCAAAACTGTTCTTGCCTTATGAGTGGGTTCATTTTCCACGTGTTCAGCATGCATTAAGTGAAAAAAAACCAAATCGAGTATAATTTTGTCTGACAAAAGCAGGCAGTTCTAAGGTTTCATTTTATTTTTAAATTAGTTACTCATGTTTATCACAGAAAACTTTTTACAAATGAGAAAATTAAAGTTAAAATAAAAATATTTGTTATTAACCAAAAATTTGTTCTAGTGAGTGGAGATTGTCCTGTCAAGTATCAAGGTACCACTGTATTTCATTAACAAGATTTTGATATACATGGTAGCATCAAAGAATTAATTCATTGTGTTAATCAAAAGATACCTGTATACTGTATAACGAAAACCTGTCTACTATGGAAGAAGTGCTGATCCATGGATTCGATTATAGACAGGTTTAATTGTATAAGTCTTCAAGTTATACATTTTTAAATCGTTTTAACTTGTCCTTTTAATGTTAAGTAATTTAAGTTAAATCAATGAAACGAGAATTTCTTTTAACTGTAGTCTTATTTATTTACTTTTCATGTTGTCAGTTTAGAAAAGCTGCAAACTAATTACAATAAGCAGAATCACTTAAACAATTATTTTAAGTGTGGTTTAAATTAAATTAATAGTATATTTTATTTAAATTCATTTATAAATACCTGTAGATAATGAATCACAACCATGATCAAATAATTCACCTAGAGGTGAACTAGTTCCAGTTCTTCTTGCTTGTTTACCATCACATGCATCTAATGTCTGATAGATAAACATACCTAAAGCACATAAGACAAATGTCCATCTTGGTGCCTATAAAATTAGAAATTTCTTATAAAAAAGGGGATTTAATGGTGGATTAAAAGGGGATTATAAAAATGTTTTAAAGATTATCTTAAACAAGTGAAAAGAATATCTTAATAATAAAATATTAAAGCAGTTCATATAGAGAACTTGCATGATCATCATCTCACATGACTCATCATTGCTCCACCTCCTGCGCCATATTTGTGCAATGCTGTTCATGGAAGTGCATATCATTTGGCTTGCGTCTGAATGTTTATCGTGTTTAGATGGTAAAACATGCAATTTACTTTCCCTGCTCTGTTATATATATATCATAAAGTAACTATGGGATATGGGATCATTTTTACATTTTTGGACTCAGAAAACCTTGAAACATCGAGAAATGCAAAACAAAAAAAAATTTGAGGTTTTATCTGTATATGGATGTGTGTGGAGTGGACAGATTTTGTTCACTCAATTTCAAGCTTAATAATTCCCATGACTTTTGTCGAAAATTTCTGAAATTTTGCAGGTAGGTTTGTATATTAGGGGGATCGATGCTACTAAATTTTGGTAGTTAAAAGTCAAGGGGATCATGGAACATATCTTGAGTAGGGTTGGACTTAAGATTTTACTTGTTATTAACATTTATAATTTTAATAAAATTCACCTCTACCCTCAAAATTAAGCCTTCCACCATTTTATAACAACTAAAAATAATAAAACTTTTTTATAACAAAATCTCATAATATAAAATTTATTTTTTAATTAAGATCTCACAACAGCTAGGAAAGTTATGCACCTCATTGCTAGCTTTTTTATTAGGTTATTTAATAACTCTTACTAGTCAAGATGCCAACTGGTACAGAAGTAAACTTTTAATTTATAGTGGAGTTGATTCTTATGAAAGACTCAAATTTGCTTTTAGAGGATCGTAATTGATGGTCAAAGATAGAATATGGTAACACCTTGTCTTAATAATCCACCTTGTCTTATTTTTAACTCAACCACACAAAAGCATACAAATCACTTAAAGCTCAATTTTGTCGCAAATGGCTGGGTTGATACAAAGATTTTGGTAAACAGTTCTTCAGAACATACCTTTCCTAGCAAGAACAAGCTAATCAACAAGAGCTGACCACAGAAGGTCAACTCCCTATACTTCCTATGTTAAAGAAAGTAAACAACCCAACTGATTTGGAAGTTAGTGGCACCAAGATCACCTTGTGTCATTAGACATGACAACACAAATCATCAATGACATTACTATTTAAATTAGATTTCAATGCACATGTGAGAAAGATACCACTTCCATTTTTAGGTATGCACCATAGTGAATTTAAATCAAATTAATTAATAAAAAAAAATACAAACACTTAATGAAAACTCAATACATTATAATAAAGCTTGTTAATTGACATTCACGTAATATAAATGGCATCCAAGAGTTCATGTTCAAGTCAAATTAAACAAAAATTTATTATATATAATACAGTATTACATTATACATGGCATCCAAGAAGTTTTGTTTAAAGGTGCTTAAATCAAATTAAATAACAGTATTACATTATACATAATATTACATTGCATTTATAGGCATTTTTATGTATATAATAAACTTCCCAAAACCTGATACATAGATACTCAACCAAATGACAGCCATAATAATTTGGCTATAAATTATTAATACTAGCAAATTTATAGCCTGATTAATTACAACAATTGTTTGGTTCAATAACAAGGCATTTTTATGCATGAAACACAGCTAAAAAGTTAAAAATAATAAACCAGCAACAAGTTGCTCAACTTTCCTGGCAACATTTAAAATTCTGGTGGTTCCATCTGTTATCATGTTTTATTTTAATTTTGAGGGTAGTGATGAGTTTTATAAAAAATTGTAAATGCTAATGATGAGTAAAATTGTCATTAAGTTCAATCCTACTAGAAATACACACAACCCTCATTACTTCCCCACTTCCTTGATCTTCAATCACCACAAGTTAATAGCATCAATCTCCCTAATACATAAACCTCCCTGAAAAATTTCAGAAACTTTCAACAAAAAGCACAGGAATTATTAAGCTTCAAACTCATGCCCCAAACAAACACATATACTAATATCCATACATACAAAAATTACCCTCAAACTTTTTTGCCTTTCCCAACATTTCAAGCTGTCCTGAATCCAAAAATGTAAAAATCTTGGCAGGTCATTTTTTGACCAATCACCATACTTACCCTCTGTTATATATAACAGCTGGAAAAATAAAAATGCTTTATTTTAAGGGTCAGGAATGACTTAATCCATTTTATATTGTTTTTTTAATGAAAAATTTGTTTCAGTTTCAGAAGAAATCAAGTTTAAAACAACTTTTAGAAATGAGTTATGTTCAAAAACCAAGATTACCTAGCACAAGTTCTTAAGGGACAATGAGAACATTTTACAATTTAATTCAATTCTTGCATTTAAATATTTCCATCTTTAATTATAACTACTTTGGATTAAGCCTAGCAAGAAAACATTTTATGTATGTGAAAATGATTTTACTATTAAAACAATGAATGCAATAACCTGGTGTAGTTTAAGGGTTAAAAAAAAAAAATACTAAAGCCTGTTCAAAATGAAAACCTACCAAAACAAAAAATATTTCAATGCCATGTGATTCCAATTATGTAGGCATTGTATTAAATTTATTGTCTCTAAACTAAAACAAAGAGAAAAACACAACAAACTTAAAACTTCAGGAGTGGTATATAACATCAATGATCAAAATGTTATAGCATCTGATCAAAATGTTCAAAATCAAAATAGCAGTAAAAAGGAATCAAAGAACATGAAAAGTCTATCAGATTGGAAAATAAAGAATTGCAATAGATTCAACACTGTAGAAATTTAATTGTAAAATTGATAAAAATAATATAGAGATATTGCATAAAGAAAATAATTTAATTAAACAAAGAATTAAAAAACACTATAGTACAATGAAATATGTAAATAATATCAATTTGAATAGTGGGATGGCAATGCACTGGATGCATGCTGAGATAAGATAACATGGTATAAAATCCCAACAGGAAGTGATCGATGTGATTCCACTGACAAGTCCTTAACTAAAGGTGAAATGCATTAGGAGAACGTTTTAAAAGTTTAAATAAATTTACATAATTTTTAAAAGTGTCAGTGTTTTGTTCTCAAAGCTGGTTAAAGATTGAGTGCTTTAACTCAAAAAAAAATTTTTTTTTTTAAAGTTTTCTTCTATACTTTTTTTCATACAAAATAACCAACTCTGATAATTTTTATTGTTTTCTAGAATTTTTTTTTCTATCCCTTTCAAATGACTGAGTGAGGAACACTTCCCTCATCATAGTTACATTGTTTTTCTTTTGACTTTCACTTGACTTGTGTTTTAGATTCTGCACATGTCTTTCTTCTTGACAATTGACAATTTTCATCAACCTTACTCTTGCTTTCACAAAAGTTCTATCTATTACAATCTACGATTCCACGAATTTAAAATTCTTTAGTGACTGAACACAACTTGCAGGTTAAGGTTTTTGCTTTACTTATTTTCCTAAAGATGAACTGCCAAGCTTCTGCTTTTTTAGCTATTGGGAGAATGCTTTGCTTGAGTAGTGTTGCCCTATCACATGTGACAAAAGCTACAGAAAATTCTGGAGAAAGAATAGCAAACTTTGCAAATATTTTTTTGTTTAAGACATTATGAAAACAATAAATTTATAATATGTACCATTGTCCCCATATGATCAGTTCCCAGCAGCAGATTCACATACATACACACATACAAGAAAGACAGACATCGGCCATACACGACGTGTTTAGCCGGGAAAAAAGAAAGTAAGGAAAAGGGGAGGGGAAGAAGGAAGCAGAGAAGATAGACAGTACAGAAAGGTAGGATCCCTCTGAATGGCATACATAAGGCTACAGTACCCTCTACATTTGATATTGGCGTACAGGTTTTAGACTGCAAGGCCATAGTCCCTGAAAGGTCTAAAAGTAAACCTGAGTGTAGCGAACAAAATAATTGAGTGCCACCATGAATAGCTAAGTGTAGAAGTTAGTGCCAAATGGCTGTTAGTAGGAAGACTTATATCTACTTAATACAAGTATACCTAGAGTTACGTCGTTCTCGATTATACGTTGTTTGTCAAAAAATATATGGAAAAATAAAAATCAAATTTAAGTCATTTTATTTGACTTTATGTCCTTCCACCACAAATATTGAAGTCGTAATATCACTAGAAAAGCGTTATCTATACTAATATTATAAAGAGATAATGTTTGTAAGTAAGTTTGTTTGCAGCAGGTAATCTCCGAAACTACTCATTCGATTTCAAAATTTCTTTCACCAATATTTAGAAAGGAACTTCAGGGTGGACATAGGATGTATATTATTCCGTTAAACATTCATATAAATTAAATGATACCATCTAGGGTTAAGGCTTTTATGTCCAACAGATGGCGCTACAAGTACGCGCCCTAAGTTTGCTTTTCTGCAAGGCATTATGCTTTTCTGTGAAAATGAACTAAAGCAGATCATCTTCTATCTATTTATATAAATAAAAATGTAATGTTCGTTTGTTCCTACCGATTCCTTTGAAATTTTGACACAACGCTGCATTCAAAAACGCATGTGTTTTTATATAATACTGGCAGACCCCGCCACGCATTGTTGTGGCTCAAAATGTATCTATTATAAATTTATAACACTTTCCCTGTGGGGCGGAAAATTTTTCGAAAAATTTCTTCTTAGTGTACATTCTGTTGATGTACCCTGTTAAAACGCAATCAAAAACGCAAAAAAACTGCATCTAAAATAGTATAAATAGAAGCAGAGTTCTTTATGGTAAGCCTTAATCCTAACCATCTCCCTTCACTGGGGGGAATTTCGACACATATATTATATAAAAACACGTGCGTATTGGAATGCAGCATTGTGTCAAAATTTCAAAGGAATCAGTAGGAACAAACGAACATTACATTTTTATTTATATAAATAGATAGAAGATGATCTGCTTTAGTTCATTTTCACAGAAAAGCATAATGCCTCACAGA